GTGGTATGTCTCCAGATGAACCAAGCAGAATATTTAGTATTGTGCTGTGTAAGGCAGACAGTACGCCTTGGTGAATTTACAGAGTGAATATTTGTTCCACTGATGAAATGGGTGAGACAATATATAGGTGACTGGTGCACTTTAAATAAGCTTTTTTAATATTTAACATCAGTTGTGAGACTGATTCTTTCTTATGGCCTATATTGACTGGTTTCTGTGAAACTGTTGTTCGTACTCTGTTTTCATACATGAAGCACGCAGTCTTCTACTCTAATTCCAAGGCAGTCCAAAATGTTAGGGGTTATTTTCTCATGGTCCTTTCATGAGAGTATACGTATAATGTAAGAGCATCACGTAATGCCTCCAATGTTTTCTCATATACCTTGGAGGTCTCCTCAGTCTGTTTTCTCCTGTGCCCCCACCACCACCACCCTCTTTAGTGCAGCCCTCCCTAGCACACTCTGTATTGTGTAGCACTTATTAGCCACAATTAAATGAACAATATGAATTTAGTGCTTTCTCCAAAGCCTTCCTCTGCTCTGCTTTGCAGCAAGATGATTAATGCAAATACATATTACTTGAGATAACCATTTAACCACTAATTTAGCCAAATTTATTACAGCAGTTAGAAGGTTTTCCATTGCAGACAGACATAGACAAGGACACAGTAAGGGGACAAGGGGGCTGCTGAGGACATACTGCCCCCTCATGGTGATGCTATGGAACTGCCCTCTGCTTGCTGTCTCCTGTAGAAAGATCTTGACACACCAATGTAATTTCATGGTTAATTGTTTTTCTGTGAACATGCTACACTATACAATGATTCTGACTACCATGCAGGCAATGAGACATTATGCTCATTAACATTTATGCAGCCTGTAACCCATATCGCTTCACGTAAGGCTACCGATTTAACCAATTGCTTCCCATTTGCGTGTGTCCTATGTGTACGTAGCCCAGTGATAAAGCACATGGTTATCTGGTCAGGAATTATTTGATTTTGCTAAATCCATCAGCACAAAGATATAGTTCTACAGAGAAATATATTTTTTTTCTTTTCATAGAAACTAGAAATAATAATCTATTAGATAATTGTCTGCAAATCACCCCAGTCCTTCAGCTTTACCAATATCTATTTGCAAATACCTCTTACAGACTATTCAACAGATAACCTCTTTAGGGACCTGAAGAACATTGTCATCATTCCAGCAACGTCTTAAGAAATACATACAGATTTTTTTAAATTAAAGATTCTCAAGTCCAGAAACTCTCTGGGACTAAAAGCCCCTGGAGTCAAACCTCATCTTTAATTTAATTAATAGTGACCACAAAGTCTACTCTTAAAGGAAACCAGTATGAAAATAAATATATTTATATATTATATATAATTCCCAAATAAATATGGGCATTGCCATTACTGTCCCTCTTTTGAAAATGCTAATTACCGCCAGTTTTTTCAGTACTTGAGCCAGATTAAAGGTAAAGTCAGCATAAGGTCAGAATGGCTGAATTGCATGCTTGTTGCGGGTCAGTGATTCAAAAAGTATTAAAGTTAATGGATCAGCATGAAATCCATGGATCTGACATTTTCAGAGGGATTGGACAGTAATGGCAGCCTATATTTTCTGTCAGTGTGGAGAGGTGCTAAACATACATTCTAAGCTGGTATATCTAATATCATATTTAGAAGCCATCATGGAGAAATAAGTATCAAGTGCATACAGAAGACATGCGAGATGAGGATGATTTTGTCAGGGGGCTGAGATTTTCTTACTAATTAGCTTAGAGGAAGTCTATGGATGAGGATAAGGGGAAAGCCTTAGCACTTGGCCGTCCACTGTTGTTTTACAGAACTGTGAAAGCTTATTCAAGTATTGCAGAATGCAGATACTTAAAGGATGACCTCATTTTTAGTGATGTCTTTTAAGTAACCCCCCCCCCCCAGGACAGCCCACCTAATGAAATGGTTACCTTCATCCCTGTTCTCACAATCTTCACTTTGCAGCCTTGCCTGGAAAAGCACAGCATCTGCAAGGAAAATGTCCTAGCTGAGACCTTTTCTTACAGCGAATGCTCACAGCACCATCTGTCGTTCGTACGGGTGAGCTGTGGACTGATGGATGGCTGGAGGCAACCATGAGTATGACTTATCCATAGGAATGAATAGGGCCATAAAACTATGTGCTGCAGGAAGGGTTAAGCTGTGCTGTGCTGGGCAAGGTTGCTAGGTGAATCTGATTCCCTTCTGTCACAGGCAAGGATTAAAATGGACGCCCACACATGAAACCCAACATTCCGACGGCAGGTTCCCTTTGGTAATTTCCAGTCAACAAGCAGAATCCAATGAGGGGTCCCACTTTTTAAGGCCGCAGTGAATCCTCACTACTTTTGACATAGGTGGCCTATTATGAAAGTTATATGTTATTATTAAGGTGGTGATATCACACAGGAGGTGTTGCTGTAGCCTTATGTACCAATTCTCATCAGTTCAATAAAACCACCAGGCAAATTGAATATTTGCTCAACGGAGCAAATAATGGGGTCCACTCAGCTGAAGCACGAGTGGCGCAGATTTTACATTACTTGCCCACCGCTATTTATAAGCTGTCTAAATTACCCCAGATACGCTTTTTACTTTTAACTCTTCATCCATTACCTTTTCCGTCTCTTTTATCATCATCACCACCTTTATTTCTCCAATTTTCTTCTTTCCCCTCATTTGCACAGACCTCTCCCTCTGCTGTCTTCACATATTAACTTCTATGGTCTCTGGGCCCCCTCACCCCACCTCTCCGACTGGGATTTTGTTCTTCTGAGAGCTGTAAATTCTCTCTGACAAGATGAAAAGAAAATGCTGTATTTTCTGACCGACTGGAATCCCCAAAATGAGCCCAGGGATCAAAGCTGCACAAATACCTTCAAATAACCTCTAACAGGCAGACAAGCAGAGAGAGACTTGGAGTGTTTTCCTGGCCGCAATAATGCTCAGCACTGAACTCTCATTCTTTGGATGTCTCTCAACATGTGACTGTACCTCATACTACCAATGTACGTCCTACCCAATAATATACTCCTGTCTGTCCCTGGAAATTCTGCTCTGAATGTATCCACAAATTGTGATAAGTGCACACTTGCAACAATTCTATGCCTTTTTTTTTTTAATTTTAAGGTGAAACATTTTTTTTTTTAAGTGAAATTTTAAATTAATTTGCTAAAAATAATTTTATGTGGTGCCAGACACATGTTCGCTCTGTTGCTTTCCGAAATACAAGAATACAGTGTTGTCTTCATTGCTTTCAAGCTTTTTTTTTTTACATATTCTAAAAAAATTGAATTTAAAAGAATTGTTCAATTACAACACACATGCTACAGATTTTCTAGCCTGTTCAATTCCAAAAGTGATTGAAAGATGTCTACACATAGATTAAAGTATAACTGAAGCCAAAACTTTTTTTAGTTTTGGAAAGATTAAGGGAGGGTTATGAACCCAGCCTTGTTTGCCATCTGTGTCCCATAGGGGAGATTTCCCTTCACCTTCTGCCTGATCACCGTCTGATCACAGGGAGAGAGTGTGGTCAGCAGGGTCACCAGAACTAGTGTCCCCGTTGTAAGATTTCCCATTTATTCCTGTTCTGAAAGCAGCCCAACATTTTTGATTTTCTTTCAGTGATGACGTTCACCGGGACAAACAGTGGGGGTGAATCTCCCCAACTGGGACACAGACAGCATTAAAAACCTGACGTGTTCTAATCTCTCTCCACTATACCCAAAAATAAAAACAAGTTTTGCTTCAGTTGCGCTATATGTTTTCATACATGCATATGGTTGGATTCTTAAAATGATCATATCAATTGGTCAAATGATAAACATGTATGGGCAAAGTTAGGCTTTTTCATACATGCATATAGTTTTTATGAGCAGTATGATGAATCAGAATAACCCTTTCAATAGGCTTAGAGTAGCATGTTGGAAAACCTCTGACTATGACCATTTCTGTTTCTATACAGTTCTTGTAAAAATCAAGCCTGGCTTCAATCCGCCCCACCTCCTGAAGTTACTTATTGGTCATGTAAAGCCCAACCAGCCAGGAACATGAGCTTTGCTGATTGCAAAGTTTAAGGTCTAACTCAGCAGGGGGCTTATGAATTGATATTTGAATTGAACGTTTTATTGGTCATTTAGTGTATGTTGTGACAATTGTTTTAGTGCAGTCATGTAAGCGTGGTACTTGTTTCATGTTTGACAGACATTTCAGGTCTTTTTAGTGACAGTTACTTGTCAGTGATGATTCTGCTACAGTTTAGGTATATCAGCTGAAATGCACCTCATCCGTGAAGTTGACTAATAAAGAGAACTGCCTGGACTTCCCATATCAGTCTATAAGATGTTTCTCATTTTCTAACCAACTATATGAAAGGGAGAATCTAATTGGTTGCTATAGGCAGGACTGACAGCCCATAAATGAGACCTTTGCTGTTAAACAAAAACATAGCGTATAACAACAAATAGCACCTGAATGAATTCATAACTGGTACCTAGAGCAGATCTCAGGACTTTTCTTTCCTTTCAGTGTTGAACAAGGGCCAGTGCGTGACCAAGTATTATCGGTGGATGCAGAAGAACGGTGGCTACATTTGGGTCCAGTCCTGTGCCACCATTGCAATCAATGCCAAGAATGCCAATGAGAGGAACATCATCTGGGTCAACTATATACTCAGGTAACCTCAAACCCCTGGCACAAGCTCGGCCAGACATGGTACAACTAACCTTTATGTTTAGCATCATCGCTGACATGACAGCCCCCTTCTTATCCCAGGTTGAAAGAGACAGAAGCTGATACCAGAACACGTGTAAAAATAAAGAAAGAACGGAGCCAGATTTTTTTGAAGCTAGGATTATAAAGCAGACTTTATAGAGTCATTTAAAACACTGCTAAAGTGAACCCGTTCTCTATTTATAACGTTTACAAGTAAAAGTCGAGGACAGACAGTTCAAGATAAATGCCATTTTATTTACTAGGCAGAAATGCTCTAGTATGCTCCTCTTTGATTGAATCTCACTTTGTTATGGGGGGGCTGAATTTCTCTGACTTCATCACTAAGCTTCTGCCTACTGCCATGCTACTGTCCAATTCTTAATGGACCCTAGCTTGCCTTTGAAGTGTTCATGTTCAGTGTGATTTCTTTATTCATTTCAGTGGGGTGAAAAAACACTTTAAGTTTACCAGTGGCATATCACAATTTGGCTTGTTAGATTAACAATCTGCTTCCTGGAAACAATTCACTCTGTGTAAAAATACTTGTTTCTTTAATATGAGTGGTTTTATCAGTCAATGAGATAGAGAAAAAGAACATCAAATGTGTGGTTACATACCACATTGTAGCTGCAGGCCTGAATCATACCAAACTATATGAGACTCTGTATTTCTTGCCTTCCAGGTAATGTGCTAGACTGTGTCCCCTTCATCCACTATATGGTGCTATGAATGTAGAAAGTATATGGTGTACAGCAATATTAGAAAACAACACAGAGGTGCCGCATGTCCCATGTTTCCTCCCCTTAGGGACGAGCCATGGCTCATTCATCAGCAATTATTTATTGCTTTGCAGGTACTAGAAAATATTACTCCAGCATATATGCTTCTATTTACAGTATGGCCATGCAAATATATTATTCACTTATGCCTAAGTCTAGAATTCTGCTTAGTGAAGTAACATATATATTCAGTGATGACTTGGAGCAGCACTTTGTATTGGCAATCTGCAAAGCCAAGGCTCCATGCTAGTGAATCCTTATGAAATCTATGGCAAATGTAACCTTGCGTTGGTTTTCCAAACATGATTTCTAACTTGTGCACTTTCACAGTTGTCCTGCCGTCATAATATATTATGGGATTAAAAAAATCTGTCATGCTTGCTCAGGCCAAGTGGTCACAGCAGTGTCTTTCAAATGAATTTCACATGGTTTCAGAAGATAACCTATTAGTCACTGCTACAATCCTGAATTTGGTAACATTGATATGTGTTATCTGTTTTCATGCATTGATATGTGGTTGTATAGCAGTCTATGTCCTCTGTTGCTTAGAATAGAAGGAAATAGGTTAGGTTTGTGTCAACCAGTATGGAACTAGATATTTTAGAAGCCCCCATACCCAAATCTCACTGACAGAACGTGTTCACCACTGGAGCCACCAACCATCTAACAGCCAATACAATTGTCCATGTTAACAATACCTATATACTATATCTTACAGCTCTAAAAAAAAAAAATCCAAGGGTACTCAAAAACTGTAAAACCAAAGTTAAAATACAGTCACACCAAATACATCTCAGTTCTTACAATTCATTGAATAAAATAATTAAACCAATCAGATTGCACTTACAACGATCTTAAATGCACAGACTCCCATAAACATGAAACCCTCGCCCAAAAAAGCTGAATCAGTCCAAAGACAAGTCTCTCCTACAGCTGGCCCAAGAGAAGAATCCCCCTATGTGCAGTTCAAGGATTCTGAATAAGCACTACCAAGACAGAACATCTTCCCCTGTATGAATGTACACCGCCACTGACACATTTCAGGGACATGCCCCTTCATCAGGGCCCTGATCAGGAGTGTTGTAAGTGCAATATGAATGGTTTTATTCTATCACTGTTTGGTGCTCCCATGTTATGCTTTTTTTGCACACAAAAATGTAATCTACCTACTCAAACTTACTTTGTTAGTTGGCAGTCTTGATTATCTTTGTTATATCTATTTGTATAACTAGAAAGCAATCAGTTTGATGGTAGTTTGAGGATTTTATGTCAATAAATCTTTTAATTTGATTTAGTTTACAAGAATACAAGGACGTTCCGATGGATATTGCTCAGCTGCCGCATTTGCCTGAAAAGACATCAGAATCCTCTGAGACATCTGACTCGGATTCAGACTCCAAGGATAATTCAGGTAGGGTAGATATGTATGATAAATCGTTACTAACTGAAATGTTCTCATAATTAGACATCTCAAACAATGAAACTGTTTACTTTGTGGATATGATGTGCTTTATTACTAATAGTGCATCACATTACAAATTACTGTGGATGCAAAACAAGGTTGAAATCCTAATTTGTACATTAAAATAAGTAATAACAATGAACATGCTATCTGTAAATTTGGCTCCTGGAATCGTTGTTCCTGCCAAAGTATGTGGATGTGTTGGTGTTTTGTTTTTAAATGTATAAAGTATGTCGTTTGTAATGTACATGTATCACCATATAGGTCATTGGGTGTTCTATGTGCATGAGCAAACTATCATTTCTCAAAATCAGAGGTCCACCTCTAACATCCTGGTCCTCGCTGGATATATGTCATCAGCAGTGGCGTAACCAGAGTTATGGGCGCCCGGGGCAGAACATTTTTTTCGCCCCCCCCATATTATATAAACATCCACTAGAACTGTACCCCCCACCCCCATCATCAGACATATGAGTGACATGAATATCTTATCTTGTGATTTATGTACGTCAAATACAATATTCTTTATATGTGAATATCCTCTATCTGTAATAACCAGGACTGTATCTGGACATGTGACAAGCTATTAAGCCAAGGGAGTCCTAAGCTATCCCATTCATTTCTGGAGGCCCTGGACATGTGTGAGGGTTGTGTGACAGAGCTACGTCCAGCTTGTTCTGAGTACCACTTTGTGAACTGAGTCACTGTAATTGAGTGTCCTGGAATTACATATTGTAAACATATGAGGTTTTCATTTAATAGCAAGTTTGAGCCATATTTTCTATACTCAGTGAGATTAGGGGAATTTGAGAGCTGTGGAATCTATTAGAATAGCTTTCTAGTTGCAGTTTACATAACTGCGTATCCATCTGGTTTTTGTTTACATTTATGATACTGTCTTCCCCACAAGTCCCTCTGTTGGGATTTTATGACATATAAGATATTGCATATTCTAAGGGTATGCACACCGCTTGGGATAGCAGCTTTTGCTGCTTCTAATTGATGTGTAGTATTCTCTCTGACAGTACTGTCAGTCATTCAGGAGTGCTCTCCTCTTGGCATATTAGTTGTTCTATGCATTGTCGATTTATAATTGCTTTTTGTATGTGTATCGTGGTATTTTTATATTTTGTATACAATGAATGGGGGATATGGCTTGTGCATTTTTTTTTGTTTTGGTACTAATGTAGGCAATTCTTTGTCTATGTTTTGTAAAACAGAAAGGTATTTTACTGACTCTAAATTACAAAGAGGATTGCAATTATATACATAAAATATCACTTTTTAACAAAAATGGAGTTACCCTTTAAATACAGTTCTGTAATGAAAGGCAAGTGTTATGTGGAAATATGACTTTAATGTAGCTTTTTAGGTTGATGGGCATTTTATTAAAAATATTGTTTGTTTTTTGTGAAATCACACCGTAAGTTAGTTTTGTACAGACTGAAGAATATACCATGATAGTAATCCTATGTTGTTAATCCTTACAGAGGATAATGATAATCCGAAGTCAGATGGAAAAGGGAACCTTTCTGAGCAGAGTGAAGACCAAGAACCTAATCAAAAGCAGCCAGGACCCCACTCTGACCCAGACATGAACTGTGATGAAGAAGCTAACAGCTCAAGTGATGCTTGCAGTGAAGAAAGTGAAGAAAGCGAAGACTGTGAAGTGAGGAAAACAGAAGAGGAGATGGAACAAGGGGGGTTGGGTGCATTAGGGGCTATTGGCGCTCTTGGACCATTAGGCCCTATGCACATTAAAGTAGAACGTTACACAGAGAGTGAAACAGACATGCGCGGACCTGAATCTTTGAGCTCTGATAGTGCCAAAGACTCTCAGAGTGGGGAAGAGGAGGAGGAGGAGGAAGAAGACACAGGTGTACGTGTTACTGGTGTTTTAAGCAGACATCAGCGAAGGAAAAGGAGAAGGAGAAAGGGTTTGGGACCGTGTGGAGGACGTAGGAGACGCCTTTCTGGAGGATCCAGTCCCAGTGGGCTAGAAACTGCATTGGGGGATCCCCCTAGATTGCTCCCATCCACCCCTCCCCCAACTGGAAACTGTTCTTCATCTGTGCTAAAGATCAAGACAGAAATGTCAGAGCCTATCAACTTTGATAATGACAGCAGTATTTGGAACTTTCCACCTAATCGAGAGATCTCACGAAATGAATCCCCTTATAGTATGACCAAGCCTCCAACAGGGGGTGAGCATTTCTCCCCTTCCCCATCTTCCTCTGCTGCTGCCCCTCCAGCCCTCCATGTTTCCATACCAGACTCTGTTCTCACACCCCCAGGTGGGGCTGAGGGAGCTGGACGCAGCAAAGCGCAATACTCTGGATCCTCAGGGGGCTTAGGCCCTGTCAACTCTGACCCTCTATCACCTCCACTGTCTGCCTCCCCTCGTGAAAAACCCCCTCAAACAGGTGGCCCATCAAGCTCCCTTCTGTACGCAAGTGAGCTGGAAGCGCTTCAGAGGCTTCAGGCCGGCAACGTGGTCCTTCCCCTTGTGCATCGTGTGGCAGGAACCCTTGCAGCCACAGGAAGCAGTGGACAGAGGGTGTACACTACAGGCACCATTCGCTATGCCCCAGCTGAGGTGACTCTGGCCATGCAAGGCAACCTGTTGCCCAATCCTCATCCTGTGAACTTTGTTGATGTAAATGGTCCAAGTTTTGGTTTGGACCCCAAGACCCCAATGGAGATGCTGTACCATCATGTACACCGACTTAACATGTCTGGCCCATTTGGAGGAGCGGTGTCAGGTGCTGGTCTTACCCAGGTGCCTGCTGCCAGTGTCTTCACTACAGCTGAGGGGATATTCTCCTCCCTCCCTTTTCCTGTGTACAGCAATGGCATTCATGCAGCACAGACTCTAGAACGTAAAGAGGACTGAAAAACAAAGGAGAGAAGTGAATGAAAAGTAGAGAGAATGAGGAGGAGAAAAATGAACAGACTGCAGAGAGCAGGGAAAGACATTAATAAATGATGCAGAATGTAGGTGGCTATGTACTGATCTTAAGGGCAGCTAAGCCTGGCCACCCAATGTCTCCTCCACTGCTTCCTAACCCAAGGCCACAATAGGGGGTAGTCCTCATGAGTTATACTTGTGAATACCTTTTCCCAAAGCATTCTGGGACCAGTAGCCCCGTCTTCCGCACCTCATACTTATAGCAGGGCTGCACAAAATCTTTTCTCCATCCTTCCCTTTTGTGGCTTTGGCTTATTTGGCAGATGCCTCTCCTGGGGACCGCTCGCACTGTGCCCGTTTTGCCGTCACTTAGAGTTGGGGGCAACGGCTGCGTTCTGATCCTTTACAACCTAAAGTATTCCAGCACTTTGACTCACACCTAGATTCCCCCATTTTTGACCCCAGAACTTTGTACGGTCTTATTTTTACTCCTCACCCAGTCACTGCCAAAATACTGAAACATGGCATTTTGTGTAGTACTTTTTTTTTTTTTCATTCTTTTGGGGCCTCTCCCTCTCTGCTGCTAGAACTTAGATCTGTTAACTCTTAAATTGCCAGAAAGGTCAATGCACTGCATGCTGCTCTGGCAGGAAAAGAGTTAACTCGACTCGTACTACTGGATCCTGAAAGTGTTTTCAGCCTTCCATAAGCCCACAACAGTGTTCAAAAATGGTTGAAACCGTTATCAAGACAGCTGCGTATTGATGTACCAAGATGCCTTGTCTTTTCAAGGTTCATGTATGTGTATGTTTAAAGATGTTTCTTACAATTGTCACTTGCAGGAAAGAAAGTTCTACACACCTGATTCATAAAGAAGACTTTCATCAGAGGTGGCTTCAGGCAGATTCCTAAACTTAGCTGTTTATACTGTCTTAGTGTTGTGTGAATTTCCCTTAGTTCACAGGATCTAGTTTAGAGAAGAGTATCTGCTTTTAAGCTCTTTCTGAATCATCTGGCTCCAGGTGCTTGAGCAAGAGCTCCATGAGCAAAGAGCATACTTACATAATGAGTACATGTAGAATTGAATGGTTCTTTAGTTTCCTGCTTGACAAACCAGTGCTCCTGATGTAACAGGAAAAAGGCTAAAAAGTACTGTACATGGTCCTAATAACAGGGGCCTGGCTGCTGCTATAATAGCCCTTGCAACTTCTTTGGGGCTTAGAGACAAGGAGGGCTCCTCCCCAGCTGCTAAGGTCGAAAACCCTTCTTTTCCAAGTCTTGTTCAGGCACAGTTTTTATTCCAGAATGTACTGGTGATGTTTCCTACCTACACAAAAGTACATATACATGATACATGTGCAGACAGTGCAACATTCAGGTTTGCAGTAATTACCAACATCAGTGCACTCTTTGATATCAGCATTGCCAGAAGTGGATTGGGAAGAGGAGACCTCTATTCCCTCCTTATGGGCCTACTAGATTGTATTTCTGCCTCAGCTACTAGAATATACACAAATGTTATCACAGATTTCTCCACGCCTAGATTGCACAGGCCATAGCAGGTTGTCTGTAAAGTATAATCATCTCCAGTGTCTTCCTAAGCAACACACTGACCAATGATAACGGTGGCCCAGCAATCTCCAGAGGTGAATTTGTCAAAACCGGAGCAGACAAAATCTAGAGCAGCTGTCTATGGCAACCAATCAGCTTCTTCATTTTAAATCTTAACTGAACAAACTGAAGAGAGAAGCTGACTGGTTGCCATGTACATCTACTCCAGATTTTGTCTGCTTCAGTTTTGATAAATTCCCCTCCTTGTCTTTAGGAACAGGTAGATGTAGGGGGCAGATAATTTGTGCTACTTGTTATTTTTTTCCACCAAGATATGTGGCAATGGCAGTTTCTGCTCCTCTCACCACTTCTCCTCACAGAGAGCATCTGTCTGCTCGTCTTACTACCTTTCCACTGGCAGCTTTTGCCTGCACCTCCCCACTGGTAGTGTCTGTTTACACCTCTCACCACCTTCCCTCTGGACTCATCATAAATCTGATGGGCCGAGGTGCCAACCTAGCATGTTTATGGAGTAAAAATTTGCTGCCTTGAGGGCAGTCATTTGTTGAACACCTGAACATCATTTTAAAAATGCATTCAAGTACTTTTAACTATAGTTAAATAGTTAATAGCCATTAACAGAAATGTATCTTATTTGTGTATCACTCGGCTGTAGATCCTCAAATCATCTCTGAATTGGTGCTGACACTGTCCTTCCTTCTGGAGGGGGGCTGCTTTTGTTCACCATGGTCCCTGTGTGTGTTGTAAAGTAGCCACCACTCCAAGATTGCTCTTGTGATGGATTACAATCTCACATTTAGTTTACTAATTTGTATTGAGATTGTAATCTATCACAGGAGTGAGCTTGGAGCGGTGGCTACTTCGTAGGAAGGAAGGACAGTGTCAGCATTAATTCTAGAGCTGAGTGATACACACATAAGATACATTTTTGTTAATAGTTACGGCACTTGAATGTATTTTTAAAATGTAACTCCTGAGTTTAGAGTCACTTTAAGGAAGAGCACCTCTGGTTTACACCTGCACTTAGGCCCATGAAGGAGGAATAGGTGGTGGATCTTTGCAGAGGGGCATGTGGAGCACCTGGTCTTTTGGCCTTCAGTTACTTTATGAGCAGCAGCCTTTGGAACCATTAATGGAGTTCTGAAGAAAATACAGAGAACAAATGACAAAGGGGCAGGCTGTGGGGACCAAAAAGATCAAACCAAGGGGTTTGGAGACTGTAAGCTGTACTTGAGGGTAGAATGCAGGAACTGAGGAATGAGCACATTCAGAGTACATGGTATCACTGGATGGAGTCATTAAAACAGTCAAAAAGAAGAAGGTAGCAGAGGATGGGATAAATGTGCACACTTTAATTTCTATATTTTCTGATTTAACTTCCATAGTCTCGATCTCTGAGTTGAATCTAGTTCTAGGGAATGAAATCCTTTCCTAACACATCAGATATACTATTACCATTTTGTCAGATAGGGGACATAGAGCAGGGAATTTCTTTAAGTTCACACACATCATAGCTATTTTTGCTATCAAGAGAGGCTTAGAACATGGGATTGTAGACCGCTGTTGTGATTGGCCCTGTTAGGGCATAAGCCATTGCGGCTCATTTTAACTTCATAAGCCAGGTAATCTTTCCAAGCAAAACAACGATTGTGGCAGTATGATGTGTATACAGTGGGTTACTTTGTGGACTCTTTTTATTGCACAAAACACTTTACTGACCCATCATGTTTTTGCTGTTACATGTTGAGTGTCCTCACCAGCACTGTGTGTCTACCTGTTTATAGTTTACAGTAAGTGGAGGGTTAGAAAAAAAAGAAACATAAAAACCATTTAACCTCTTTATCATTTCTTCATAATTTCCTCTAATATTTCGACTCTCCGTCTAACGCACTTTGATGGATTTAAAGCCTAGCGTCAAAATCTGGCAACTACTAATAAATACAACTTTTCTTTTATAATACTATGTAAGTCTCCCCTGAAATTTTGAAGGGGCAAGGGGGGATCATCGGGAAAAACGTTAAGAAAAAAAACAAAGTGCAGATATTGGTTTTGTTTTGGCCACCAGAAATCAGAAGGGGAAAAATATTGAGTCGTAAGAAACCAAAAGTGTGACGTTTCATGGACTAATGGGTTTCTGTTTCCTACTTCCAGTCTGTTTGGCAGCTTATCCGTGAAACATCTATTACCAGGTGTGAGACTTTGTAATGTGTTGCTTAGTGTGTTACAAAAAAAAAAAGAAAAAACACAAAGCTAAGAAAGTTTAAAAAAAATAGAAAAAAAAGAACCATTTCCAAGTGTCTTTTTAGCTGTCTCATTCCAATTTCAACGTGTGTTACAATATGCAGTATATTCTAAGCTAATGTGAGTGTTTATATCTGTTGTCTTTCTCTGTGCTTTTAAAACTGTAGTCTGGGTCTGTCACGTTCTTTACTCCCTGTGTGTCAGTGAATCGATGGTACCTGGGGGGCTCGTGGATGTTTGTATAGTGGCAACGCTGCTTTCACTGTTGGTACACCCTATGGGTAACTTGGCTCTTTCTTTGTTTTCATTTTTGCTATCGCTTTTACTGTTGTGAAATTTCAGTACTCTGTCTTAATGACTGTTCTGTAATTTTTACCTCTGTTTCATGTCTGTCTTTTTCCCACATAAACCAGCAATGTAACATTTTCAAGAGGCCGCCTACTTGCTTTTGTGCGAGAAAGGGATGGTTCGCTTCTTCTTTTTTCCCAGTTTGAAGAATGACGTCCCTTCAGCATTACACAATAAGCTGGACCTATAAAGTAGTTACTCTGACATATTAGAAGCCCTGTGTTCATTTTCATCTACTCTGTGTATAGAGGAGGCTCACTAGTCGCAACATGGAAATAGCTCCTACATTCTGTCCAGGCCTTTATGGCTACTTTGTGCGTTGATTACAGTCCATGCAGGTATGTCTCTGCCCTGGCAGAGTTCTTAAAGCCATTAGATCAATCCTCACCACTGCAGCCAATGCCAGCTGGTAGCCACTTTATTTGCATTCCAGAATTCTAAGCATGACATGGACTCCTAGTTTAATTGGGGTGCCTTACAATCATCCAGCAACATTTGGGGAGTGAGTTAGCAAGGGACGAGCTCTTTCAATGTCCAAAGCCAATGTCCCTTGCTGTCTCCTGCTGTGTTCGGAAATTAAAGCCAGACCTACGCATTGGCTCTACCTCCTTTCTTTTCAGTGAGGGAATGTAGGAAGGGATAATAATAAAAAAAAAAACTGCAACCTTTAAGCCTCCTCTACCATTGCCTTCTGTGTCTTCCTGCAGGGAAAGGGTTAGGACAGTGACGCTAGCCCTGCTTCTCTGTCAGAAGGCTGGCTTTTAATCCAGAACCAGATACTGCGCATCCAGAATGAGTCAATAGGATGACTCCTTGCACATTTGTGGTGGTTGCAACACTGAAACTCATGTCAAGGTTTTATGTTTTACCCCTTTGTCTTCCATCTAGTTTTCTGTTCGTTTTTTCTTCCTTTCCTTTTTTTAATATTTTTTTAATAAGTGTTTGTTTTGTGTAGAACAATTAAAAACTAATATTATTAATAATAATAGAGTCAATAGGATGACTCCTTGCACATTTGTGGTGGTTGCAACACTGAAACTCATGTCAAGGTTTTATGTTTTACCCCTGTGTCTTCCATCTAGTTTTCTGTTCGTTTTTTCTTCCTTTCCTTTTTTTAATATTTTTTTAATAAGTGTTTGTGTTGTGTCGAACAATTAAAAAATAATATTATTAATAATAA